TGGCAGGGGGGGCATTTGGGGGCAGGCAGGCTGGCGGCAGGGGGCAGTTGGGGGAGAGCAGGCTGGCAGTCAGAGTAGCTACGGGCAATCAGGCAGGCAGGCAGGCAGGTGAGCCGTTAGGAGCCAGCAGTTCTAGATTTCAAGAGGGATGTCTGACTGCCAGTTTAGGCCTGATCCCTGTAAACCAGCAGTAGGACATCCTTCAAGGGGTCCCAGATTGGAGAGGGTGCAGGCCAGGCTGAGGGACACTCCCTCCCCTGTGCACAAATTTCATGCACCAGGCCACTAGTCCTATATAATAGAGCTAATATGCAAATGGTCATCATGCCCTCACGTTGTCATGTAATGGCTCAGACACTCAACATCGGGGAGAGAGGAATGGGGACCAGCCAGGCTGTGGCCTGGGAGTGGGTCAAGACACCTGCCCCATGGTCCCAGGTGCCAGCGGCTGGGGCTGCGGCCCAGGATAGGGACAGGTCACACAGCCTGCGGTCCCAAGAGCCAGCGGCTGTGCCTGTGCCTGCGGCCTGGGAGATGGACAAGCCGTATGTCCTGGGCACCAGCAGCTGTAGCTGTTGCCCGGGAGAGGGACAAGCTGTCTGCCCTGCAGTCCTGGGTACCTGTGGCTGTGGCCTGGATGAAGCCGCCCATCCACAGTTCCCTGTGACTGCAGCCGGCCCGGGCAAAGCCAGCCCGGGTCCTGAGTGACTGCGGCCAGCCAGAGGGAGGGAAGCTTGGGTCCCAGGTGCCTCTAACTGGCCAGGGGAGGGAATCCTGGGTCCTAGGTGTTGGGTGAGGCAGAGGCGGTAGGGGTGATCAGGCCAGCAATTAGGGGCAATCAGGCTGGTAGGGGAACCGTTAGGGGCAATCAGGCAGGAAGGCAGAGGTTGTTAGTGGCAATCAGGCTGGCAGGGGTGGTTAGGGGCGAACAGGCAGATAGGCAGAGGGTTTAGGGGTGATCAGGAAGGCAGGCATGCAAGCAGTTAGGAGCCAGTGGTCCCGGATTGCGAGAGGCAGTTGGAAATCCCCCGAGGGGTCCTGATTTGGAGAGGGTCCAGGCTAGGCTGAGGGATGCCCCTCCCCCCGTGCACAAATTTTATGCACCAGGCCTCTAAAATATATACCTAATCTAATAAAAGAGAAACATGTAAATTGACCGTATCTCCGCTACACCCAAGCCACACTCACCAGCCAGTCAGAATGACTATATGCAAATTAACCCAACAAAGATGACGGCTGGCAGCCACGGAGCTGGAGCAAGCAGGAGGATTGGTTGACCTGGCGATAGAGGAAGCCAAGCTTCCCACCTGCCCTGGCTGGCTGTGGCCTCCGCTCAAGGCAACAAAGTTTCAATTATAGAAGATAAATAAATTCCAGATACCTGCTTCCAGCCAGCCTCCACTGGGAGCTTGGGTGTCTGGGGGCTGTGGCCAGCCTGCAAACAGCCATAAGCCCCTCACCCAGGCTGGCCAGGCACCCCATCATGGACCCCCACCCTGAAGGGGCTGTGGCCAGCCTGCCAACAGCCATCAGCCCCTCACCCAGGCTGGCCAGGCACCCCATCATGGACCCCCACCCTGAAGGGGGTGTGACCAGCCTGCAAACACCCATCAGCCTCTCACCCAGGTTGGCCAGGAACCCCAGCGGAACCCCCACCCTGATCCGGGACACCCTTCAGGGCAAACCAGCCAGCCCCCACCCATACACCAGGCCTCTATTTATACTAATAAAAGGGTAATATGCAAACTGACCCTAACAGCAGAATGACTGGGAATGACTGGTCACTATGACACACACTGACCAACAGGGGCCAGATGCTCAATGCAGGAGCTGCCCCCTGCCCACAGGCTCCAGACCAGCCAAGGCGGGTGCCAATGAGGCCCTCCCCCAACCCCCGATTGCCCGGTCGCCCCACAGAGGGAGGTGACTGGTGGTGACGGGCAGGGGGTGGGGCCAGTGAGTGGGTGGTGTGAGGGCAGCCAAGGTGGTGCCAGCAGGGTGCCCCCACTCTTCGATTGCCCCACGGTTGCTCCACAGATTGGCTCTGATCGCCGGCCAGGCCTAGAGACCATACCTGTGCCAGAATTTCATGCACCGGGCCTCATATATATATATATATATATATATATTAAA